TTTGCTTCCATGCTGATCATATACAGAATACCCTCACATATTCTTTATTTGCCCTCTCCTTCTCTTCAGATTTGTTGGGGACCAAGAAGCTTGGCATGAACTTGCAGAACTTTACATCAATGAACATGAGTAAGTTGTTTGCTGAGTCCACTTAAAAAGTGCAAGCTTGAAATCTTGTCTTTGTGAGTCAGAGTCCACAGTGACTGTTTCTGAAAGCCTTTGTTATGAAGTATACAATTTCATTTCCAGTATGACAAACAATATCATCAAACAATTAGAAGCTTGAACTGACTACCATGTTACTTAAGGTTTTTTAAAAATAGGAGGCAATTACTAAAATTACTTTGTAAATTTCTGCTGCTTATTGACCAAATATCATTTAAATAATTTTCCTTGGAGATAAAAAAGTAGAATAGGAATGCCAGAACTCCATATTAAATGTTCTTCACTAGATATAATTTTAAATGCTTCTAATCTTAAAAAAGAAAAAGAAGAGAAAAGGTTGCAGACATTACATATATCTAATGCTCTGAGTTTCAATAAAAATTCTGTTGCGAGACATCAGCGTTTTGTTTTTTTAATTGTGCATCTGAAATAGAGGCATTTGGTTGCCTGGGTACAAAACCCAGTGCAGTCGAGAATGCTGAATGTTGTAGGAACTTTCTTATTGGATATTTAATGTTTTTGTTAGCTTTTTTTATTGCTGTAGTGACAGGAGGAAATCCCAGTGTGAGAGGATTAGCTCAAAGCCTTAGTGCAAGTTTTCTAATATCCCAGCATTAATTCTAACCTCCATCCAAAGGCATGTCATTTTTTTTTTCTTTCTCACTTCTTCAGCCTAGACTAAATTATATCACATTGTTTCCTTCCTTCCTTTCCAGAGAGCAGTAAAAGAATCAGATTCTCAGGGAAAAGTTGACCATTCTCATTGTGCCAGAAATACTAGTCCTAGTTCTCACAGAAAGAAAAAACCTCTCTGAATGGCTGACTTTAAAAAAAATTAGATCTACAGTTTTAATGCCCAGGTTTCTTTTTTGCATTAGGAAATGTGCCAACAACTGTTCTTGTAATACAAATAGTCAAAAAGTGTTTGTTATGTAGTACATTTTATCTTTATATATGTATAGATAGATAGTATTCTTAAGGATGTAAATACATAAATTCATAAGGTACTGAAGCACACATACATGTTCAGTTATGTAAAATTATTTTTTCTACAAAATAATCTTCTACTACAAAATTATTTCCAATTTTTTGCGGCCAGTCCTCTCTTTTGATCATTCCCTTAGCAATAATGTATAGAATTTATCTTGACTGAAGCATTTGACTGCATGATACATGTACTTGAGGATTATTTAAGAAAATAATGTGAAGTCCTGTCTGAAAAAGAGCTCAATGTATATTTTCAAAGGCAATAATTGCTCAGCCTTCCCTTTTCAAATTAAAGTTACGAATTTCAGCTTTGATGTAATGACCTTTGCATGTACTTGGGTTGCGTACAGGCATATATTTCTACCGAAAGAATTGCAGCTCTTCCAATAGAAACCATGAACATACAAATGATCGCACAGTTTCTCCCAGAACAAAAATGGTGCTCCAGGAGAAAAAATAACTCACCTCCAATACAGTAGAGGTCACTCTCAGGAGAGTTTCTCCCTGGAGAATGCATGCCTGTATTCTTTGCCACCCCTTGACTCGTCCTGCAGACCAGGAAGCGGGGGAGAGTTCAACAGCAGGGATATGCCGGTCACTGGTTTGGATAGGGAATGGGGAGCAATAGCTGCCTACCACCTCCTTGTTCTGGGAGGAGTTGAGCAGTGAGGAAAGACTGCTAGACCTTGCTCACATCCCACTTCTCACACCAGGATCCTGGGTCTAAGCAGATAGTGAGGTTTTCTGGGTTGCGCCTTCCATTGGGCTCCTAGCCAAGGAGTAGGCAGTGGACTTTGCCCTGTTACTCCAGTCCTTTGGGTCTTAGAATGGTGCAAAGAACAGGGGAGAGGTTGAATGTCTGAACTGTTCCTTCCCCGGGAAACATTTCTAGCAGTGGAACTTTTCCATTACTAGAAATAAATGCCTGTGGCCCTGACTTTACAAACTGTAGGGAATCTTCATTTCTGCAGCTTGATCCATTTGTTTAAGACTTTATGCACCTTCAGAGCCTCCCTCAAGTGCTTTGAGATGACTGTCCATTTGTCTTCAGACTGAAATCAGAGGCTTTGTTACTGTTTAGCCCATGATAACATCTAATGTTAAATATGTGCACCAAGATCTTTTGGTTAATTTGTGGAACACAATTAGTTTATTTTTGTTTTAACAAATACATTCTGCTTAAAATATTTATTATGTGGTTATATAGTTTTTATTATATTGTTGATGTTCCATTTATAGGACATTTATACACATTTTTTTGAGCTGTGATGCAGCAGAGATCTGGCGTGCTAGAGCAAACTTGATTAATAGAGTCTGCTCCGCACGTTATTTGGCACCTACCGTGCTACATCGTTTGCAGTTGTACAAGCAGCGAAATGAGCATCAGCACGGAGAAAATGGCAGTGGTGTGCTTTTGAACTAAAACACTTCCGATGTGTTTTAGTTCAAAAGTGGACTGCCGCCATTTTCTGTGTACTGATGCGCATTTCACCACTTGTACAACTGCATGCATCGCAGCACTGGGAGCTTTTCAAAGCACCCAGTGCTGCGGTGCATACATGTGTAAAAATGACTATAGGTACTGTAAAAGTAAAACCCCAGTTGTCTTGATTTAGAACTGTTATTAGTTCTAACTGTTTGACTAAAGCTGTTTCATCCCTGGTTTAAAATGCAATTTTTTTTCCTACAGGAAACTGTATACAAGTCAGTTAATACATTTTCAGTCATTTTATGAAGTCCCCATATCTTCATAAAAATGTGTCTTATTATCTTCTTGTTTCTCCTAAATCAATTTAATTAAAGAAAAGAATTTTAACTTTGTGGTGTTAGTATAGTTCTGTGTATGAGTAAAGCTGATAGGCCTGATCCCAGAATTCTTTGCATGTAAGGTATTAAATCTTAATTCTGTGATGGATGCCAAATGAGTGCACTTTTCATTAACTGCAGGATCGGGACCTTAATTTATAGCTTGTTGTATGAAACATCAAATAACTGATAATTTCTTCAGCCCCATATCACATTTGTGGTATCTTGTCTTTTAATCTGAGTTGAGTGCCTTTTAGCAATTCTTTTAAAACAGTGATTTTGAAAAAGCATCAAAGGATGTAATGTTTATTACAATGATACTGTTTACTGGTTAATAAGCATTCATATCTTTTCCAGGACTTTGAAAATTGTTTGAATTACAGGAGCTTTATTTTTAGGGTTTTTTTCAATAAAACAACTAATGACTCTATATCCCAGGAGGTACTGAGAAACACAGCATATAAATGACCTTTTTAGGATGAAAATAATTAAAATTAAAGAATACTTTAGCAAAGAATTATGCATTCATCAAAGCAGCAACTTGCTTCATGTCATTGTCTGCTTTTTGATATTCCTCAGCTATGCAAAAGCAGCTTTCTGTTTGGAGGAACTTATGATGACTAATCCACACAATCACTTATATTGTCAACAATATGCTGAAGTAAGTATCTTTAGAAAAATCAATTGTGTTTGACTAGCCATCTTAGTTTTGCTTCAGTTTCCATGTCAGTTGAATAAAAATAATCTTTTAATATTTTTTCAGTTTTAGGATAAACAGGAATGTACACATCTGATAAACTGTAAACATTGAGTAATGATACATGACTTTTTTTTTACTTAATATTGTACTGTTGTTAAATTTGTAACTGAAAATAAAATAACTATTGTAACTATTAAAATGCCTACTGTGAACAGTTTCTTGTTGAAGGAAACCAAGCTTCTGCTAGCATTTATTTTCTTCCCCTAAACATCAAAGTTAGATGTAGGAAAAGAAAACTAGATTGGTTCAAAATTTTACCAGTTTCCAAATATAAGCATTTACAAATGATGCAGTTATTACTGAGAGTGTTTTGTATTAATCCTATTTGGAGGGGTTAAAAATTGGATCAGCATTAAATTTTCAGACTGTCTATATCTCTTTGTGGTTCATAGCTGAAATGCATCTTCTGCTTCATATTATGTCTGTAGTTAGCTTCATGATGGGAAATTAATTCATTTAATGAATTGCAATCTTTGAATTTGATACATTTAAAAGATGTGGTGTTAAAGAGGATCAAATATAATGAGAACCACATAAGAATCCCTGTTACGATGGGGGTAAATAAGGAAGAGTTGTATTTAGGGAATTGGTATTTGTATTAATGCAGATCAGAAGGCTTTTAAATAGGGTGACCATATTATGGATAAGGGAACCTGAAATGAGGGGTTGGGTGTGCTGCTACTATGCACACATGCGTGCATGTCCACACACATGCACCTGTGGTTCCCAGGAGTCCTGATGGTGGGTGGGGTAGGACAGTGCAGAGGCCCGCAGCCAGGCTCCATCCCCTGTGTGCAGAGGCTAGACCTGGCTGAGAAGCCTTCTTCCCACTCTTGATCCCCCACTGCTGCCAGCCACATGCAGCCTGGGCCCTGGCAGTGGCTGCAGAGAGGAGGTGTGAGGCTGTCAGCAGTGGACAGTCATGCTGGCTCCCCCTATGCATGTGCCCATGCTCTGGCCCCAGCGCCCCCCTCCCCCCCTGCCCTGTCCTGCCCTGGCTGATCCCAGCCCCAGGCTGAAGGAATGGTGCCCAGCCCAGCCCACCCTCCCCACCATCTCCAGCTGCTGCTCAGCAGGAGCTGGGCCTCTTCCTCTGCCTGCAGCAGCCAAATCTGGGACTTTTGCTTCAATTTACACCAGCCGGCCAGGACAGCCTGCGAAATCCAAGACTGTCCTGGCCGACTGGGACATACGGTCATCCTACTTTTAAATCTCAGGGTTTTGTATCTTACAAACCATAGATACTAAGTAAGCTTTTATTCTTTCAGTAACTGACACTTAAAATACCTATAGCTTTTTTTGTTATGGTAAGAATCTCTTGAAATTTGATTTTTGAATTGAGATTAGGTTACTCCTATGCACGTTACAGAACACTCATGATGGTGCTTTCTTTTTTTTAATTTTGCATGGTATTCTATATTTTGATGAGTCTTAACAGTTGGAGGAGGGATTTGTATAAATTTTATGCAGAAAAATAGCAAACTATTTCAAGTATTTAATCTATGTGATATGATAAAGTACTCAAGATTTCAAAATAATGAAACAAGTAGATTTTAACAGTCTGTAATTTTAACAGGTTAAATATACCCAAGGCGGGCTTGAAAACCTTGAGCTATCAAGAAAGTATTTTGCACAAGCATTGAAGCTGAACAATAGAAACATGAGAGCTTTATTTGGACTATACATGGTGAGTTTCAGTTGATAGGTTATTGTTCCTGAGCATTATCATTAGGAACTCAGAGATTTGGTTAGCTGTGTTAGTCAAAGTCAGGCGGAAGGGAGGGCAGGGTAGCACGTTGGGAATCATTAAGACTTCCTGTTTTAGTTTAACAGTTTTAGCAAATTGTATAGGAGTTACTAAGTGGAAATGGGCAGACAGAGTTCTTTGAGTAAATGTGATATCTTTTATTAAACCAACTAAATAGTTGGAACAATTGTTTTCTGCAGGCTTTCAGGTACAGACGCCCTTCTTCAGGCGGAGGGAGAGTCTACATGTGTATTGTGCTGTCCTGGAAGGGACACAATGGAACTGTAGACATTCCCTCTGCCTAAAGAAGGGTGTTTGTACCTGAAAGCTTGCAGAGAACAATTTTTCCAACTGTTTAGTTGGTCTAATAAAAGATATCACATTTACCCAAAGAACCATGGTTGCCTACATCCTTAAACCAACATGGCAACAACCAACACTCCCAATAAATGGAAATGAACATTTTATTATGCATAGACTTTAAGGGCCTGGTTCTACTCTCATTGATATCAGAGGAAATCAGAATACTTGGGTTCCATTCTTGGCTCTAGTACTGACTTGCTGTAAAATATATACATTAGCTTTCTGTGCCCTTATTTTTCCATATGTTAGATGGGGATAATAATGCTTTAACCTTGTTTCTAAAGCACTTTGAGATTTAGTTAGTAAACTGTAATGTGTTGATTTTTTATTGTTGTTGTTTCTTTGTTTGATAGGGTATTAAATTGTAGTAGATGTGTTGTGCAATACCTTTGTCTGTACTGGAAGTGGGGCAGATGAAATTTCTGAGCAGCCTGATTTTGGGCAGCTCTTCCAAGGGTAGAACAGAGGAAATGTTAGTACAGGTGAATGAACTGATACTTTAAGCAATTCAGCTTTTGAAAAGCAGTATTAAAAGAATTTACTGGATAAAATGAACTGCTATGTTGTTAGAATTTTTATTTAACCTTATCTTATAATGTGTGTATATTTTTGATGTTTTGTTTTATTAATGGTGTTAATCTTAGTATATGCATTTTGACCACTATGTTGATTATTGTAATTGTCTCTTATCCTTAAGTTAACCACGTGTATGTACTTCAGTATAAAAACAAAAATAGCCTGAAACGGTCTTGTAGTAGTTTATGACCATTCAACCTTGTCATCCCTTGGGGCGTTCTGGTGAACAAACATTCCCCCAGATACTGGTGGTCACCGCGATAAACTTATAGGTGGCCATCAGATCACCCCTGAGCCTGCGCTTTTCCAGGCTAAAGAGCCCCATGGCT